TTAAATTTGTTCGTCGGTTGGAAGTTTTCTCTGTTCCTTTATGCGACTACAGCGCTCTATGGTTAACAGTTTAGTGTCACCAGTTACCTCGAAATGGTGGATGCTGGTGCTTTTATGTCACTTCCAATTTAACTTAGAAAATTAAGCTTAGACTGCGAAGGACGTGTATATTCGGCCACTGAAACTCGACATACATTGAAATTTATAATGAAATTTTTAAATTCAACAATTTTTAAAAAAGAACGCATTATGGAGTACGGCGAGATGAAACTTTCGTTATATTTGTAGTTCATTCATCCGTCGTTGAGTTTTATAAACAATAATTACAAACTTGAAAGTCCTTTTTCATGATATTCGAATACATTTGAAAATATAAATCGCTGCGATTTGGAATCGAGTGTCATTGTCAAACGTTTAACCCATCAGCAATCGTAGGACGTTGATCTGCCTCCAGGCACACCTAACAAACACGCATCGTTTGCACGTGTATGATCACACGTACATATGTACGCGCGACAACGGATTACGCGTCTACATATTGGCTGCGTTTGCAGCAACCCTGCGTTTACGATTCCGTGAGTGGGTGTTTGCGATAGTATCACAATAGTCTCGGCAATTTCACGTGACTGCGTCAATGAAAAGAATTATTCAAATTAAACAGAAATATATAAATCATTAGCTTACCATGTCTAGTATTATACGCGTAGATGTTGACACTCCAGAATTATTTGTTATGTGAAATAAAAATTCTTTCAAAGCATCTTTTTCTCTGGCGAACGTACGATAATGGCCCCTTGGTCAACGATCCCCTTTTCAAGGCACGTCCGGCTAGTTTCTTCCGTGGCAAGTTGATATTTTCAAAAGGGAAGCTTAGCGAGCTCGCCACGTCGTGTAACTCCCGACAACTGTAAACCCCGAGGTCCTGACGGTGTTCCCATGACTCGAGGAGTTTCCCAAGATACACGATTGTCACTTTTGAACTTCGCGTTAGGAAACACGACGCTCGAACAGCTAACGCGTTAAGCTAACTCGCTTGACTAACTGGATTTTACAGTTTTGATCGAGAATGTTGCGCCATTTCGTTCAGTCCCGTGATGAAGTTTGGTATCCCCCTGTCGGGACAGCTTCGCCTTGATAATACGTTGATGCTAGTTTCGCTTTCTGTGACACGGGGATAGGAAAGTTTAGTAGACGATCTGTTAAGAACTCGAGAAGCGGGACGTGTAATATTTTAAATTATATATTGCACAGTGTAATAAAGATTACACGAATGTTCTAAGAATACGTTTAATCAACATTTAATGCTATCCGTGGTCGGGAATATTACTTTTTCGAAAGACACTGAATTAACAATCTGAAGCTTCGAGACGCAATTAAAATTTTATCTCCGAAGTTATTAAACATTTATAATGTATATAGTAATACATAGTAATAAGATCTTCAGATATAAGAATAAATGCTACATTATATGATTACAAGAAAGATTATAAAAAAAAAAAAATATTACTCCTTGTATATTATCAGGGTCATTTCGCGAAATCGGACACTGAATGGACATACCAATCTCGAAGGATCTCGAAATAATCCTTGAATGCTTTCTGAACGTGCTAGGTCGTTTCCTTTTCCAGATCTCAAGGCTCGGTTATATCAACGTTTATGGATCGCGATCCGATTTTCAGATTTATCGCGTCGACTGTTCGCCCGTGGACGTATACGGTGCATCCACGACGTTTCCGCGGAAGGATGTATTCCTTTGGTAATCCAAGCTCTCCTTTTACGTTCAAAGTAACATCTCGTTCCATTGGAAAGCCGCGTCTCCTTTTTTCGTTCCTCTTGCATCTTCGTACGCTCCTCGCTCATTGTGTAATATGATTAACACAAAGCAATGGTGATGCTAACAAATATGCTTACGAATTAGAGTCCCATAAATAATATCACTCTGAATTATTTTCTCTTTGGCACTTAATTGCTAAACAATTAATAAATTCCAGATGATTGTAATTCAGCTCTGTTTACGTGGAAACTTGTACTATAACTAACAAATTCTACAAATTCAAACGTAATAAACGAATATTACAGTAAACGAATTCGTAATGAATCATATTTTTAAGATAATTTGTCTTTTCGATTCATAATATTGCATCCTCGTCGAACACAATCGTTCAATTTGCTGACGAGTTTCCAACTAGCACCCGTACAATTATTATAAATGCGCTCGTAACGACTGTTCTTTGATACAGAATCAACTGAAACGTGTTAACGCGATATCAAACTACCTGACAATCGTCACGTATACCGCGACAGCGAGAGCCATACTCTCGCGGGAATTCAAACTCAAGCGATCGCTCGACCGTGAATCAAAGAGAAACGAATTTTACCTTTGCGTGGCGTCGGTCGTTACACGCGCGCGAAATCTCGACACACGCATCCTACACCAGTCCAAACAGCCCGATTAAAAGAACGAGGTTAATTCCATTGCGTTCACAGTCGAATAAACTGACAGAGGCGTTGTCGGCAAAAACGCGTAAAACGCAATAAAGTCAAACAATTGAATTTCCAGCGCGAAGCTGACTTGCGCGTGCGCGCAATCGGCGATCTACTCGACGAGGTAAGTACAGGCTTGATAATGAATATTTGAAGCACGCTGTATTTGATGAATTGTAATTATTTCAGGTAGGCTACAGTGTTCCAGGTTTAATTACAGGCTTTATATTGAAGCTCCATTCCTGGGCTGGGAAATACTGAAAATAGTGTAAGAGGAGAATGAACGATATTGAATCTGCAAAGTGGTGGAAAATATATTTTTAATCAAAGGTTTAATCCAGGTGTAACAGTAACAGTAAGGAAAAAAAAAACATGTCGAATTGAGTAACCTCCTTCTCGAAGTCGGTTAAAAATAGATAAGAATTAGAATCCACCTTTAAATTAGGAAAATATGATATTTTCTATATTTCCTCAAGCACAACAAACCTCACATGCCTACCTATTAATAGCTAATCAGATTTAACATAAAATTCCGTTGGTCTGCACTGTAGCAATCCGAAACGAAGTACAAGCCGCGATTTTCACTCGGAATGCGAGCGAAAGGTACGGACGACGAGCGGTGAAAATTTGTTAAAAGTCGGATAATTAGTTTCCCGCTGGAGTTTCGTTGATTAATTCCCGCGCTGAAACGCGCGAGGAAAAAAAAAATATCAGGAGCCCGTGACGTCCGGTGATTTTCCTGGGGATTCTGGAAAAATATACTGGAAAACGCAAGGGATCGCGCTGAATATTCGATGCCTCGCTGAAAAAGCGTGTCAACAGATATCTAACGGGTTGCCTGGAGCGGCGCGATATTATCGCGGCTCGGCTGCGCCGCGCAAAGTGCTATTAAAATATAATTAACGTCGCTATAAATTATATTTACTGCCACACCTACGTATGCGTGACCCGTAATTCGACTGCGCGACTACCGACACTGCGCGCTTCCAAGTTTTATACGAGTTTTAATATACGAGTATTAATAAAGAGATGCTGGAGAGAGCCGAAATGGCCACGATGCGGTGAATGTAACTTATTAGATTCTTCGTAATAAACGGCTGCCAGCGGTAGCTACTGCAAGCTCTGCATTCGTTCACTCGTGTTGGAATTTTTGGTTGAACTTTAGTTACTTCCTATGTTGTAGAATTCTAAAAAAGACTAAACGGGTTCCACCATAGTCTTTGTTAAATATATTATGAGAAAACGATACGTGTTGCATCATGCTGAACCGTTTCAACCGAAAATGATATTTGTGAAACAACTCATCCAAAATAGCGAAACTCATTCAGGAAAAGAAATATAGATACCCAAGCTGCTGTTTCTACCGTGATTCACGAAACTCATTCAACGTCAAAGATAAACAAGCCAAACGATCGGTTTCGTTTTTTTTTTTCTATAGGTAGATAGTTCACCTTCGTCGGTTTTAGTTTGGAATTTTCAAAAGCTTAACTAACCAACGATATGCTTAATTCTACACGAGTGGTTTTAAATGTATCGCGAATCACCGACGCTTTTGCGGCTGCGAGAAATACGCCACTGTTTCTCTAACAGGTTTTATTTCACTCGTTTCAGTTTCCACTAATTCACCTCGACTATTTCGAAACGCAAAAAACCTTCACCCGGGAGGAAGGCATTTCCCAAAATGTTTTCCTGTGTTCACGCGATTCTCTCGCCTGGCAACGGTAGAACCGACCCAGAACTCCCGCTAAACCATTAAATATATTCCGTGCTCAGTGTTCTCCAAGTTCCCAGTCTGAGAATAAATGATTCCTGTTATTCCTCATTCCATAGTGCTTCCACGTTGGAAACTGTTTTCTATCGCAAATTGCGATAAAGGTAAACAAATGAGGTAATCACAAATGCCTGCTAAACTCCGAATTTAATTTAACCCCCACGGTCTTGAACATTTCCACTGAGGAAAACAAAATATTATTCAGGCGCCTCGGGTTATTCGGAGTTGAAAAGATGTAATTGATTCGAAGCATTACTATATATATTCACGAATTTTAATTTCACAATCTTCGAAAATTGTGAAAATTATCAAACCAGTCTTCAATTGGAACGTTTAATCACCTTAATGTGCCAGCAACTCGAAGCTTTCTTAACATTTTCCGAGCATCCGATTCGTGATCCAAAACTAATTTTCAATTTGAAAATCAGATCACCTTTACTTCACAAACAATCATTCTACTAACACTTCGAGTTCCAAAGAAAGTAAACCTAAACAAATCTAGCGATTATTACAGGCGAATTCGAAAGCTGGCTTGGTCTCGATTAACCGCGGATTCGCGACGAAAAGTTTCCAGCTGTCGCCGATCCACGCTGAAATATTCCATGTCGAGGCAGTGCGAGAAGCGAAACACCGTCGAATCGGCGACCACCGAACGCGACGCGTTTGTCCCGGTGCAACGCGTCGTGACGCTCGATCGACGACGCTCAAGTGCCGTTGAGAAGCAGTTTAACGCTGGACGCTTCACCTGTTGATACCTTTTTGCACGCTGGCTCACAGCACCGCTCGTCCAGGCGCCAAGAGAATGAAATTTCACGGAACTGTAGCACGACGCGACGAGATTGTCGCAAAATTGCTCGAAATTCGTTCACTCGACGCTGTACAGCTACTGGAGTCCAACATTTTTTAAATATCGATTCTGGCTTATCGATTGCAGCTTGGGATCTTAAAAATATCTTTATGATACATGATCTTATGAATAATGTCTGGGATCTGCGTATATGATCTGTATATAAAAAAAGAATTAGATTTATCGTGAAATCCAAATGAAGTAATATGAGTTTAATTAAGAAATAATGAAATCTCGAAATCTGAATTGAATATAACGAACCTGTCTGAAATGTCGTTCACTTTTCAGAGCTCCAAAATGGACAGATTCCATAGTGGTTTAGAGTTTACAGTCGCGATTTACGAGTATTCATAAAGCGTTTATCGCGCGTTGATGACTGTGTAAGCTTAACAGGAAAATGGGAACAGATGATGAGAATGGTAGGTATTAATTATTAATGGGCTATGAATATTCCGCGTTAAAGTGAGCGTGTCGCGAGGAGTAAATGGCAATTAGAGAACGTAGACTCCTTCGAAGATTAACAAGTTATGTCGGTGTTTCGCAAGTTTCACCCTCGCACAGACCCTTTGATTAGAGGAAGTCTTCCGGCGAACATACTTGAGATCCCTTTTCTTCTCTAAAAACCACGGTTACATGAAAAATCAAGATTGATAATATTGATTATTTTCTGTCACGTATCATACATATCATAAAATTTGTTTATTATTAATCATTTCATAGCTTATTTAGTTCATTTGTGTATCGATTTTGAGCCTAACGTATTTTGATTTGAATTTAAATTTTTTATTCGAACGTGAATCATTATAGAAGATCTCTTAATCCAAAAATTAAAAAGCTATTAGACGCTTGTATTGTGTAGTATATAATATAATATCTTTATTCTTTTTGTTCGACAGCTGGCGAAATTTAGTTCAAGAAACGACGAGTTGCACAAATAAACAAACTAAATCACTAACTTTCATTAATTACAAATTGTTCCGCGCCGAGCAGTTCGAGCCTTATTATTCAACGATGACGATACGGTTCATCATAAAACATTAATGCACACTTGGATCTATTCCGGTCCCGCGACGATCATCCCTGATTAACGGTGCCGCTTAATCGAGTACGGAATTCGTGTAACATGGGAGACAGAAGCGTTCGTATCTACCAGCTCGTCGATACCGCGCGCATTATTTAGTACGAATGTATGTTTGCATTAGCCGGCGTTGTTTGTTTCGCGAATCGATAATTCCATCTTCACCAACAACGTCGAATCTCGTTTTACTGAGTAAAATTTCAATGGCCCGTTAAAAGTGGCTAATGGCTCCTAAATGGACACCGAATGTATGGAATCGCTGATTACGTCGGCAATTAAATGATTTGTACTCAAGAGTACATCAAGTCCGGAATTAACATGAACATTTGAATTGTTAGTGGATGCGCAGTAATCAAATTGTCGTGTCGTTTGACACTAGCATCCACGGTGATAATAGATTTAACGTTACGTCGATGAGGGGAATGCACAACGACGTCTCGATGAATTTGTCGAAAATTCGTCGATTCGACCGCGTCGATTATTTTTCATTATATAAAAATGTTCGCGAACGAGCCCGTTTTATATTCATGACGTCCCTATCTACAATAATATTTTATTTACGATTTAATACCCAGTACTTTGAATTTGAAATCTAATATCATTGATGGGTATATTCGATTCTATTCTAAATAAATGACTAAATCAAGGATTCGAAAATATGCACGAGTGAAGGAATGGTTTATTTAAATTTGTTTAAAAACTAAAATTGCCGAAGGAACCGTTGCATTTACATTCTTGATTTAGAATATCAAACCGTGGAACAGCATACAATATACCTAATTATATCATCCAATTCGTGCTTTATACATTCATTCGGTAATGCGACAAGCGCAAATTGTTAAATCGAGAACTATTAATGATGAATTCATCGACGACACTCCACGGATATTTAATATTTTAACTGTTGGATGGCTTGCAATGAAACCAGATGATAATTTCATAATCGGAAATATGACATTCGAATCTCTCTGTTCCTCGGTTATTCAAATTAATAACCATTCACACGAGCCACTCATTTATCGCTCGACTCGCTTTTAACAGGATTAATAAAAAAAAAAAAAAAAAACCGTAACAATTTTCACCTCCGCGGAAACGTATACTTTTTAAATGCTGGAAAAGCATTAAATTCAGCAGTTTTAAATACTGCCTTTGAAAGTTATAGCTGATCGACATTTATTTATTGGAAAACTAACAACAAGCAAGTGCAATCGAACTTCCAAATAAAATAAGTGAGTTTTTGAAAACCTTTCAACCCCTATTCTATTTTTATTGCATCTGTTTTTACGTCCTGTCCCTTACGCTTATATATAAATATAATTTGTATCTGTATTTCTGTATTTGTATTATGTATTATGCACCTGTACCGATGCGTTCTCCCGTTAATAACTAAATAAATATTAAAACTAATCAGAGTCCGTTAATAAATAATGGACTCAAACCGATTCATTCAAAATGAAAGAGTTGCTCGCACGAACAATACATTTATGAGAAGCGATTCTGTCTTCGTGGCAAACGGGGGCTCTCCAGAAGCTAAGGGGCGTCAGCACTGGGGTAGGGGCACGATATCTAATTAACGCCGAGACTTAATTAAGTATTCACACCGATCACGGCTGAAGGAGCAGTGCATCGTGTTTCCACGCATTCTCGATTCTATACAATATCTCTCTGGCTCAAGAGCGCGGTTCCATTATCAGTAATCGTCGAACTGATAAGCTGTAAGCAGTTTCCAGTTGGCCGCTTCGGAATTCACCGAGCGTGATATCGATTACGTTTTGCCAATCGTTCGCAACTGAGACTCGCTTCTGTTCCCTTTTGTTCCCTCCGTTTGTAGCTGACTTTTGTCATTTCCTACTGTCTTTGACTTTTTGTCTATCCCCGTTTCCGTTTCCTCTCAAAGTCTCTTATGTTTACTGACTCTCATGTTTATCCGTTCACAGTTCTCGGGAAGCGCGGACGATGTTCGGGAACACACATTATTCTGCACGACGATACGTCGTCACTTTAGTTGCATAATTAATTTCAGAGAGTTAGAAAGGGACAGAATTAATTTTTACATCTTAAATATCAAGAGGAACATGTTTGGTGTGGAGGAGAATATTGTAGCTGATAAAAAAAAAAAAAAAAAAAAAAAAAAAAAAAATTCAGTGATGTATAATATACACTCAAATATACAGAGTGTCCCAAAACTCGGGGAGGAGCCGGAAATGGGGGGTAGCTGAGACGATTCTGAACAGCAATTTCCTTTGCAAAAATGTCGGATGGGGCTTCGTTAAGGAGATATTAAGCGAAAACCCCGACCAATCAGAGCGCGCGTAGACCGTTGGAGCGGCCGCGGTAGCAAAGGCTACGCGCTGGCGGCCGCGCTTGCACGCGAACGAATGACTCGACGTGCATCGAAGCATCGACCTAGCGCGTAGCCTTCTCTAACCGTCTACGCGCGCTCTGATTGGTCGGGGTTTTCCCTTAATATCTCCTTAACGAAGCCCCATCCGACATTTTTGCAAAGGAAATTGCTGTAGAATCGTCTCAGCTACCTCCCATTTCCGGCTCCTCCCCGAGTTTTGGGACACCCAGTATACATATATTCGTATCATAAAAAGCATCGCAAGGTAGCTTGAGGACATGTAACTCACCCCGTGCGCAGTGAACCGTGAATAATACAGAGGTGTTTTATCGTCCCGTCGCGGAGTGTGTTAACAATCCAAAGGATATTCACAGTGACACGCGAAATCCGCAGAAGTGGTTGCAGTTGCGTGGTTGGGCTTGTTCGAACGAGGTCAGGTGAAAGGACTCGACCCACCCCGCGAGAACCTTAGAAACGGTCGAACGAAGGAAAACTTAGAAAGAGAGGCAGGTTGCATGTCACAGTCTAGTTTGTCTAGACGCGTACTATCGGTTAACCATTCGTCTTGGGCGGTGTAGTCCACCGTAGTCTTCCACGGCGCTTCGACCCCTCGAGGAACCTTTTCGCTTGTTCCCCGCGGAGAAGACCAACAACATTCCTGCGCCGTTTTCACGCGAACCCTCGACGACCAAAGTAAACCCCTCTGCGGACCGAGAAATTCGATTCTTAAGAGGTGTCTCCTCTCTGAATGCTTCCTTCGCTCTTCTTGGGAAACTTTCCAGAGAGGATTCGCAATATCCCCCGGTTCCTCGTGTATCGTGTTACGAACCAATGGATACTACTCTAGAAACGACTTCCTGATTTCAGTAGTCGGGAGCGAGCGTTCCGAGCGAAGGAGCTATAATAGTAACGGGGTTCCTTGTTCGAATTAACATGTGGGTCTCGAGAAGATTCCGGTGTGACGCTCAAGGAGGCGTCAAGACTTCAGGACGACATTGCCTGGATGAGGTTTTAACAAAATGGGTGACACGTTCTCTAATAAGGTCTATCCCAAAGTGACATCGTCTAGGATGACTCTATGTCGACATTCCTTAGATGAGGTTTACAGAAATGGATGATTTACATGTTTTCGAGTAGGATCTACCAAAGGATCTATCCAAAAATTACTTAATCTAGGATGTATATTTTGAGGTACGCAGCCGTAACAATTCTATTCAATTTTAATAGAATCAACTAAACTCGTATTGAATTGTATTGTGACTAAAAAAAGATGTCGACACTTCTAAATTATCGTATATGCATACAGAAAATGACTGAAAGGAAGCAGTCGAATGTATGCGCAAACAGAATAAATTCCCTTCTTACACCTAATCCCTCCCAACACAAACGTAAACCGTAATTTAGTTCATCCCGCGAAAACTAAACATCGTTTCATCTTGAAAGACATTTTTGCGCGATAGCTAATACCATCGTTATCGTAAATTACC